CCATCTAAGTACACTGTACTTAAGTAATTCCAGGTGAGTAAATTGGAATATATTGCCTTCCCAAATGTAGTTCCTGGGACTACTTAAATTGGGGTTCTTTTTTTTCCCCTCTGTACAGTGCAATTTAATGATAGACTGTGTGTAGTTGAAGTGTTTTCCTTACAAAATTTTCTTTGAGAAGATTTACAGAGATTTTGTATGCCTGTGGTCTAAGGAAGTGCTGTTTCAATTAGAAATTTTTTTTTTTTTGGAGAGATTTTCACTGTAGGGCACGTGCACTCGCCAGACAGACAGAGAGAGACATACAGACAGAAAGCGAGAAATCACCCCCCAGGGGGGATGGTCACGCCGCAATCCCTTCTCCTCCATTCTCTTCTCGGGATCTTGGGCACTCACGCACACGTGCCTGGCGTGAGTTTTAAGCCACTGGGTCTGGGACACGAACCGCGGTCGACTACGTGGGAGTCCAGTGACATAGCCATTACGCTAACTGCTGGTTCCCGTCAATTAGAAAATTTTGAAGAACTTACGAAAATCTTTAGTATGCATTATGTGGCATTCTAATTCCCTCCTGTGCCTAAAGTGAATGTTGCCTTGAATATTGGGAAGTCTAAAAGAAAAACTCATTGTTTGGTACCTGATAGTTCAAACATCAATAAATAACAATTTAAATGGCATGTATTTAACAACAACAACAAAAGAGAACATACTGAAAAACAAATGAATATTGTCTCCAAAGCAAGATCCATATCTGTGGATATCAAATGTTTTATCTGCAACTCACAATGAAAAAAAAAAAAGAAAACATTTGTGTCACTACTGGGTATACCACAGAATACTACTATGTATGACACCCTTGGATGGATATTCCTTATTTATTATTTTTAATACAAAAAGCTGGTAAATATCCATTGAACTGGTCACGTTGGCCACTTAATTGGCCTCTTTCTTTCTTTCTTTCTTTCTTTCTTTCTTTCTTTCTTTCTTTTTTTTTTTTTTTTTGAGAGGTTTTTTTTTTGAGGGGTTTTCGCTATAGGGCGCATGTGCTCGCCAGACAGACAGAGAGAGACAGAAAGCGAGAAATCACCCTCCAGGGACGATGGTCACGCCGCAATCCCTTCTCCTCCATTCTCCTCTCGGGATCTTGGGCACGCACGCACACGTGCCCGGCGTGAGTTTTAAGCCACTGGGTCCGGGACGCGAACCGCGGTCGACTACGTGGGAGTCCAGCAACATAGCCATGACGCTAACTGCTGGTTCCCAGCCCCTTTCTACAATTTGGGAAAATGCTGCCTTAAGTAGTAGTGAACGTTCACAGTCATTCATGTTCCTTGCTTGCTTTAGAGTTCTGTCGACATGGCATTTAAGGCTAGTTCATATGCCAGAAAACAACGCAGAATCTTTTTAACTTAGTAAAGTCTTGTTTAACTTGGATTCTCTTTTTATTTACTACATCTGACTCTCAATTATGTCAGTCAAACCGAAGCATGAAAATGGGTAACGGTCGTATTCAGGAGACTGTTAGGACTGGAGTGTTAGAATGTAAGATTAGAGGAGACTTAAGAGGTAATCCAGGCCACTCTGCTCATCATCAGACCTGGAAAAGGAGAATTCGTCATTTTAAAGACTGAATTAAGATAGTTTTATGTGTTTCTATGTAATAGAATATATTGGGTCCTCTGGAAAGTTATAATGCATTTTTGCATAGAAAAACATAGAAAAATACGGCATGACTTTACCGATGACCTGGTATTTTAAATACTATCATTGAAGAGCTGGTGTTTTGAGTGGATGCCTCTGGACTGGAATGATGGAACAGACGGTCGTGAAGGGAGAGCTAGAGCTTAGTAAAGGAAGATGTAACCTCTAGGTGCCCTTGGAGAAGCAGTGGCATCTCTGTGCTTGTGACTTTCTTGGCCTTGATTGCTAGAGCAGCCCTGAGATGTATGTGCTTGACCATTGTAGCCTGGCCCTGATAAAAGTGTGTGTCATAAATTTGTTTTTGGAGAGGTTTTTGCCATAGGGCGCATGCGCTCACCAGAAAGATAGCTAGAGATAGGGAGACAGAAAGCAAGAAATCACCCCTGAGGGGGGATGGCCACACCACAATCCCATCTCCTCCATTCTCCTTTCGGGATCTTGGGCACATGCATGCACACACGCCCGGCATGTTTAAGCCACTGGGTCCAGGACTCGAACTGCAGTCGACTACATGGGAGTCCAGTGACATAGCCATTACGCCAACTGCTGGTCCCATGTGTCATAAAAATTTAAAAGGACCAGTGTAAGAAAAGAGGTAGATGGCATCTAGGAAGCTAAAGAAGACTGAGACTGTGCTATGTCTAAAGTTGTGTTTGGTCTAGAGAGTCTGTATCCTAAAAAAAATCACACATCTTTTAAAAATTTATTAACATTATTGGTTTAGTTTAAATTTTTTGACTTTTCGTTGAAAAGTCATTGTGTGTCTTTGTGAGGTGTGATTGATGTTCTGATACAGGTGTACGTTGCAGAGTGATTAGATTAGGCTAATCGACACGTGTGTCACCTTTAATACTTACCATTTCTTTGTGGTCAGAACATTTAACATCTCTTTTAGCAAATTTGAAATATACAATTCATTATTATTAATGGTAGTCACCATACTGTGCAGGAGAACACAGAACCTACTTCTCTTTGAGCAGCAGGTTCAGGAAGGGTTGAGGATTTCTATGATGATGAAAGTATTCAGACGCTTGGCCACTGTGCACCTAGGCCTGTCTAGACACATATAGAAAGTAAATGTTTGTGGGAAAATATAAATAAACAAATACATTTTTTAAAAAAGAATTTATTCCTCTTTCCTAACTGAACTTTGTACTTTTTTTTTTTTTTTTGGAGAGTTTTATGCTATAGGGCGCGTGAGCTCGCCAGACAGACAGAGAGAGACATAGAGACAGAAAGTGAGAAATCACCCCCCAGGGGGGATGGCCACGCCGCAATCCCTTCTCCTCCATTCTCCTCTCGGGATCTTGGGCATGCACGCACACGCGCCCAGCGTGAGTTTAAGCCACCGGGTCTGGGACTCAAACCGTGGTCGACTACGTGGGAGTCCAGCGACATAGCCATTACGCTAACTGCTGGTCCCCCCCCCTTTTTTTTTTCTTAAGGCTGAATAATTTGTCCATTTACTACATTTTCTTTCTTTTATTTTAAGAGATTTTTGCCTTAGGGTGTGTGTGCTTGAGAGAGAGAGCAGTGAGAGGGAAAGTGAGAAATCCCCCCCCCCCCAGGGAGATGGCCATGCTGCAATCCCTTCTCCTCCATTCTCCTGCCAGGGTCTTGGATATGCACGCATACACGCCCAGCATGAATTTCAAGCTACCACCGGGTCCAGGACTTGTACCGCAATCAGCGATGTGGGAGTTCAGTGATGTAACTGCTTCACCATCTGCTGACCCTAGATAGCACATTTTCTTTAGTCATTTGTCTGTTGATGAGCACTTAGGTTGTTCTCAAATCTTGGCTGTTGTGAATAATGCTGTATACACAGTAATCACCTTTATTTTTGTTAGACACTGAAGTGGGCCTACTGCTTTAGTCACTGGTAATCCCTCTGTGTCTCATTTTCTCTTAACACTTATTTTTAAAAACTATTATCTTTCGTGGTTAATCTCATTGGCTTTTCTTTTAACAATATGCATATATTTTCACAGACAAACAAGTTCCTGAGAAGCCAGATGACAAAATGCCCTTCTATCTTCCTGGGGTTTTCTGTAAAATAGACAGTTGGAAGATATTTATAGTAGAGAGGATAACTGTAGATACCTGAGACTGTATAGGAAGCTGGTGATTAGTAGAAGGTGGGTGGGAGTAGCTAAGGGGAAAAAGAAAAAAAAATCACATATATTTAACAGACATTAGAATGAGAAGTTATCTGTTGAGGATGATGTACACGATAATATTTTAATTTGATTGACATGCACTGCCTGCATGCTTTGAAAAACCATATTGTATGCTATAAAGATGTACAATGATTAATGTAAATAAGAAATCATGTAATAAAAATTGCTAAAATAAGTAAAATTTGAAAAACTAGACAATGTAAACTCTACAGTTTATCCAAAAAATTAATTCAGATAAAATGGTAAAAAAGGAATATGATTTTTTGGGTAGCTGATGTACAGGAATCAGTAAACCATAGATTATAACCCAAATAGTTTACTTCCTATTTTTGTAAATAAAGTTTGATTAGAACACAGTCATGCCTTTTATTTATATGTCATTTATGGCTGCTTTCACATTACAGTAACAGAGTTGGGTAGCTGCTATAGAAACTCTGTGACCTGCAAAGTCTGAAGTATTTATTACCGGACCTATAATAGGAAAATAGTTTGCTGAACCCTGGACTAAAGGAGTATTTAGACACTAAAGTATTATTCTTAGTAAAAATTGTGACTCCTGAAAAGCTTAGTGTTTATCAAGGCTATTTTCTCTTAGATTGCATGAAAACATTCTTTTGTTACACTTGATGAACACAGTTTATGACTAGATTTGATGAAGGAAAGAGCCTGAGTCATGGGGTGCTGGTGTCCAATTTTTAAAAAATCTAAAGATCATTAAAATTCATTGTACATTAATTTCTTAATGCTGAGAAGACAGCTAATGAGGCATATATAAAAAATTGCTGTGTGGAATGCTTATGATTTAACTGTGCGGTGGTTACATTATTTTAATAGTAATTGTGAATTTTAATTAACTTTCACATTAAAAATATCAACCTATTTGAGATTTCAATTGCTACAAATCAATAAGACTCAGCTAGTAGTTACTTGCAAAAAACCCTCATATATCTTGTGCTTAATAGCTGTAGTTGAGTGTTCAAAAATGAGCATTCCATCGTATTATTTCTCAATCACAGAATTCTAGCAATAAAATATAGAAGCTACAATGCTCTCATATTAGGGCAACAGTTTAAATATGAATGATCTAATGTGTGATTATCTTTTTATTTTTTTAAACAGACTTGTGGAAGAAAGCAAACTGATTCCGCTTATATTTGAAGTGATTCTGGTAAGAAAGCAAATGTGCATTTGAAATTCAACTGCGATTTTAAAATTTTGACGATGTTGAACAATTTTATGGTTGTGTTTCTAACTCTGTGCCCTGAAGGCTTGTGTGTCCTATCGCATCTCATGTTACCTCTTCGAACCTCCGTTTCCTTATCTTTGAAATGATAACAAGCTCTGAAATTGTATTAGAGATACTTTTTTAAATTCATTTTTTATTATTATTTATACATTAAATCGCTAGACATCATTTAGATTGTGAAGTGACTTTACCCAGCATGATATACACCTCGGTCCAGCTAAGTGGAGACTATTATACACATCCTTGTCAACAAATGATAAACCTTATCTGTGTCCCACAAGTGTCTTACCTCTCCATTTCCCCCCCAAATTTCCTTTCCTATGCTCTTCCCCTCCCACACTCTCTTTCCACTTTGTCTCTAGTGTCCATTACAATTTTTCATATTTTTATGTTCTCCAGTCTTTCGGTCTTTACTTTTTAATCACCTGTCATCTTTTCACAAATCTTTTGCATTTTCGTTCTATTGAATTAAGCAATATTTGTTTTCTAACATAGATATTTTATCTGAGGTTGATTTGTGGAGGAAGAATAAAATGAATAGAACTGCTGCACTTCAGTATGAATGTTTTGATGTTCTAGGTGAAACATTCTGACTTCGAAGCCACTGCCCACCAGATCGGCAGTTTTATGACATGGTAGAAACTTGACTTCTTCCAAACTTAGAGTAGCCTAGTTTACATGTACCATTTTGTTTTTCTATTGACAGAATGCAGCTTAGTTGAAAACCATCTGTTAAGGCCATCTTTCATCTGTAGTTCCTGTGCACAGAGAATAAAACAGGATGCAGGATCGACTTTCTTTATTTCTTTTTTTGGAGAGATTTTTGCTACAGGCCTCATGTGCTTGCTGGAGAGACAGAGAGAAACAGAGCGGCAGAAAGCGAGAAATCACCCCCTAGGGGGAATGGCCATGCCACAATTCCTTCTCCTCCATTCTCCCCTTGGGATTTTGGGTACACATACACATGCGCCTGCTTAAGTTTTAAGCCGCTGGGGCTGGGACTCAGACTGCGGTTGACCACGTAGGAGTCCAGCTATGTAATCCTTAAGTTTTAAGCCGCTGGCGCTGGGACTCAAACTGTGGTTGACCACGTAGGAGTCCAGCTATGTAATCATTACACCATCTGCTGGTCCCTGACTTTATTTCTGATAAATCCCATTTATATACTCGATACAAATCTGTGAATCAGGCTGAATATGAAGTTGGTGTTTATTGCAAGCGAATGCCCTTGGCCCGGCTTCTCTTGTACCTGGATGTGTTATCCCTCTTTACCAAGAACTCCACCTCCGTAGCTCACTGACAGAACAAGATACCTGGTGGGACACTTCCCCAGCCAGGTCAGCCTAATGATCATCCATGGTGTTAGCCGTGATAATCTGATAATGCTACAAGTAGAAAATCAACTTTCCTCAGTCATCTTGAAATATTCATACACAAGTTGTGTGTGCTGTCATGCCTACATGGTAAAAACTTTATTTTCCTTAGCCATAGACCGCCCTTTCCCTTCCAGGCGAGCTGGTTGAGTTCACTAAGCTATTTGTACTGGGTGTGGAGTAGGGGTGGGAGGGTGTAGTATTGTGAACGCACGATGAAGTGACAAGATGATAGAGAACTTCTATGCTAGTAGCATATGCAAGATTAGAGCCTGGATTGAGTTGCTTAGAACGGGAAAGGGAATTTTAGAGGCAGAGTGAGAAGGGGTGGGAAAAAGAGAGATGAAGAACAATGGAGATCAAGAGCTGTCTAATAGTAGATTTTTAAGTTTTGCCAAGTGGTACGTGCACTTTTCCACCTTCAGTAGGATGCACTAATTTACTCGCTGATTAGTTATGAAGTTGAATTTGTTTTGGGGGACAGTGGTGTAGCAAACTTGAGTTTGGCCCCTTGGTTGGGCATGGGACAAGAGCCAGAACTGTGTAAATGCAGACATATTTGGCAAGCATTGAAAAGAAGCTGGTGTTGTCAGCATGGCAGAGCTAGTAGAATGGGCTGAACTGGGTTGATGTGATTCATCTTTTCACTGTGGTGGGAGGCTTCTAACTTGTAATGGTCAGTATGGCTCTTTTTGTGACTGATAAAAGTTTTCATCCTATCCTTTGACAAACATGTCAATGTCTCAAATCCCAACAAAGAGAATTTCTTTTCATAGGTTATCAAAACTCCTCTGTACTTAATTAATACTTATATACTATGCCCCTAGCAAGTGCTTCAAAATGGAAAAAACCAGTCAATGTTTAACTAATTAATTAATGCCACAATTTCAACTCTTGTCCTTGTGTTGTGGTTCTCACAGGGAGTAGATAAGAAGGTGACATCTACTGTCCAGATGAGGAGTTGAGCGGGTCCTATGTGTTACGGCCTTGCAGGCATATCTGGGATGATGCTTTTACTCTCATTAGAACTATTTCATGTTGAGGTTTCTTCTAGGATATTGTTTATTTTTTTGGAGAGGTTTTTTGCTGTAGGTCGCGTGCACTCGCCAGCCAGACAGAGAGAGACAGAGATACAGAAAGCGAGAAATCCCCCCCCCAGGGGGGATGCCCACGCCACAATCACTTCTCCTCCATTCTCCTCTTGAGATCTTGGGCACGCACGCACACGCGCCCGGCGTGAGTTTTAAGCCACCAGGTCCGGGACGTGAACCGTGGTCGACTACGTGGGAGTCCAGCGACATAGCCATTATGCTAACTGCTGGTTCCCTAGGATATTGTTTTAAAAAGAGGTTCTGCCACTAAAATGTAAAGAAATAAATAAAAGAATTGGAAATCACTGATTTGTGGGGAAATACAGTGATGTCCTTGAAGAACATTACTAAATTCCTGCTCTACTTTTGTCTTTCCTGAGATGGACAATCTCAACGTCTTTCTCTGTATAAATACATTTTTTAATCAATGAAATGTCTTCGTAGCAGCTATCATGTGAACTATTACCTTGTCCTTTTAAAGTTTTTGCCACTGAGCTAGACGTAATACAGCATTTTATTGATTCTGTGATGCACATCTTTTTTCAGATTTTAATATTTCTGAAACTGAGATATACTTTCCAAATCAGTGGCATTTTACAATTGCTTTCAGCCAAGTGACCTGGTTGTCATTGCCTTCACCGATTTATTTCACTTTTATTCTCCTTTTTATAAATGCCTATAGATTAGAAAAATCTGTTTCTGAATAGGTCTAAAAGAGCTCTTTCAATAAAAAGAAAATAAAAATTCTAAGTAATACGAAACCATGTCATAGTTTAATTGGCAGCATTTTTCTTTCTTAGTGCTTGATAAGATAATGGTGCATTTTAGAATTGATGGATTTCTTGATTCAGGGAAATACTGGAGATACCTCAGTTTGGTTTGGTGTTGAAGTTTGAAGGCCTAGGTGGTTGAGCCTAGCACCCATAAGGCTGCTTTTAGCAATTATTTGATCAGGAAAAGGCACAATGGGAAGATTGGGGGAGGGGTGGTCTCCAAATACCTGGCTACTACTTCTCCCTTCTAGCCACCTTTTAAAGGAACAGCAAAAGTATCTGACTCATTCAGATGATCTATGACCTCTTGATGACTTTTCCCTTTACTCTTAGGCCATCGCTGTTGCCCAGCTTCTGTCTGATGTGCTTAAAGCCTGCTTTCTTTTGTTCTAGCATTCCTCACGTGATGTGCTCTTACCAGCAGTGCATCCTGTCCACGTGGCCTTTCATTACAGAAATAGTCCTCTCTTCTGATGGGCAGGGATAGAAGGCAGCGTCTCTGTTTTTGAGTGTATTTTGAAAGCAGCAGAATTCTGAATTTGGTGTCCCGTTTGTACGCAATAGCCATGTAAATGCCGGGAAGATTCTGGAGTGTATGGTAGACCAAGAACTGAAGGACGGATTCAAAGTGGCTAATAATAAATTGGAAGTAATTAAAAAAATTATTTTGGAAAAAAATAATATAAGCAACCTCCAGTTGGACCTGCCTACACAGGAGGCACAGGGATCCGTCCTGTCTGTGCTAGACCCACGTTGCGGGCCCTCTGAGTTGATGGTGCAGGGCGTGAGTGTAAGCCCATGATTGGGTCGGAGCATGGGGCTGATGTGAACTGAGGCAGGGAAAGCTGCAGAGCCCAGAGAAGGCAGTGAGGGGCACTGCTGATTGCAGGGAGAGAAGTCTTACAGAAGAAATGACCTTTGAGTGGGCCGTGAAGGAAGAGGAGAGGCATTCCAGTGGGAGGGTCAGAAGTCTAGGTTAGCACAGTGAATTACTTAGATGTGCTTGAGTTCGCAGAGCAGAGACCATGGAGCAGTGTTGACAGTGAGGCTAAATGTAGTTAGGGACAAAATCCTGCAGGGCTTTCTGCTGTGGTTATTTCCTATTTGCTTAATTTTGCAAAGAATTTATGCTCTTCAAATCAGGTCATATCCTCTACTTGGAAAATAAAATCTTCTAGATTTTTAGATCATCTAGATTTTTCTAGATCTACCGTGCTGTAAGAGGCATGTGCAGTGAGGAGGCAGGCTGATTAGTCACCGGTTTGGGACTCAGAGAAAATCGTGCTCAGGGTCACAGGCATATACTGCAATCCTGAGTAGTCACACTAATTCAGTCACTAGAGGTCTGAAACAGGGTGGGTGCTGAATTCTGAGAGCTCCCTGCAAGTCTCCGTTAGTGAGACTTTTGAGATCAATGAAAGGACTGTGGAAGAGGATGCATAAGAGGCAGAACCAGCTTCTGAGGTCAGATCTAAGGTCCCAGGAGTTCTAACACTGTTTTCAGGGAAGGGAGAGGAAAGAGGGTTTTCAGTCCTGAGGTTCCACTGTGATGACGTTCCCTGCTCTTGGCAAGTAAAGCAGTGGAGAAAGCCAGATGGCTGATTGTTAAGAAAAAGTTCAATCCTGAGAGCGTCCCAGGCAGGGCTCACCTGGAGGAAGGCTGTGCGTTTTCATTGGCAGCACAA